ATTTTATTATATATATAAACATGCGTGTGTTTCTTGCCATGTTGTGTTTTCTGTTCCTCTCATGTCTGAGCTTCACACCCTTGTCAACAGTCACTCTTCATTACAGTCATAGCCAGCTGTAAACAAGATGTTGTTCATGGTTCAGTTCCAAAAGAGCAAACCATCAACTGTCCCTTTAATATGACTGAGGCCACACAGACACAGTCACAGACACAGTCACAGTCACAGACACAGTCACCAGAGTCAATACATTCAGCCTGTCTGTGTTATACTGTCCAAGTCAAAGGACCGAACTTCTCTGCTCTGTGAACTGACTGGACTACTTCAGGACTGGTACTGGTCACCTGGACCACAGTGGAGCAACAGCAGCAGCAGCAGCAGCAGCAGCAGATTCCAGGTCAGGTCTCTGCTCTGACTTCAGTCTAAAATCAGCCAGACATCTCTCCAGGCAGTAAACACCAGCAGAGTTCTAATAACAGCAGCCAAAGAGCAGAGAACCTCCGGAGGAGAACCTCCGGAGGTGGAGGTGCACAGGTGGACTTTCACAACATCCTTATATGTTGTGCCGAAGAAAATGTTAAAAATAGATCATTTAAATGGACAGGATTGAGCAGAAGAAAATGCTCATCAGAATAAAAGCTCAACTTTAATGAGGAGGATTTTAACGTCTCTTAACAACGGAGTTCAGATGGAATAAAGATAAAATATCAGGTAAATTAAACCCCGTGGTTCTCAAACAGAATAAAAACGTTGACTCGTGTCTGTTTGACAAACTTCAGACTAGTTTAACTCAATAAAACAACGTAACCGACATAACCGACGCTGTGTGGAGCACCAACCTGTTAACAACGGAGTTAAAAACCACTGGTACAATAACCAACCAGTCTGGAACATTACAGTACCGTGAACACAGCACACGACAGGCCGCCGTGACCACCGCGGTCTTCCGCTGGTTTCCGCTGGTGTGTGCTATTAGAACCACCGGTGTTTGACCGAACACCGTTGCCGTGGAACCGTTGGTTTAAGTCCCGAGGAAGTGAAGGAACTAAAGAGGAGACAACTCACCTGTGGATGTGGACACGGTGGGACACAGTCACGGACACAGCGACTCAGTATCACAGGGACTCCCTAACACAAACACACACTTTGCGCCTCTGTTAACTTTCGTGGACTGAGTCTACCGCGGCTTCTACAACCAGACTCACTGTGGAACTGCGTCAGGTTTGGTGAAACTACATAAGCTGCTTCCGTTGCTACCCTCCAAAATAAGGCTCAACTGTGAAACCTGCAGCAATAATTTTCAAAAAAATGACTGGGTTTCAGTTTGCCGTAATTAAAAAAAATTAAAAATCAAACTGCGGAATTCGGAGGTTATTGTTGTATTGTAATGGTTGAATCAAAGTAGTGAGAATTGTGCCAATATTATTTATTTTACACAAGCTTTTCTGTTTCATAACAAAAATGTTCCTAATCAATTGTTAAAGCTAAAACTTTTTTATTGTAAATTCTCAAATAAAAACGTTTTGAAATGTTTTGTTTTTTTATTTTGAAGCAAAAATACATAACTTTTCCAACATCCTGCTGTGAGTTTTTCTCGATAGGTTTGTAAAAGCCGATCAGAAATAATCCTTAAATACCTGTTCATACAAAACTAAATACAATATATCAGAATACTATAAATCCAAAAAATAAATAACTGGTCTGGCGAAAAGAAGGACATTTTAAAAAATGCATATTTGAACAATACAAATGATTAATATGATCAACACTCGATCATATAAAATGGAAATACTGTACATTTGTATTTAATATACTAAATAAAGTGTTGTAAAGTAAATATAAAAATATGCCTGAACTCAATATGTGCAACTTAAAAATATGTGGTATCATAGCGGCATCTGCTGGTCATGAATCGGCATTAGCACCACGCAGCAGGGACCCGCCGAAAAGCCGCTCGTCGGGAGAACCAGTTCAGTGTAACACAAGCGGAAATGAGCTCATCATCCGGTGACAGACAGACTTTTGAGAAAATAAAACGTCTAAAAACACCATAAAATGCAATGTTCCAGTCTAATATGTTCTTCCAGATCATTTGCGCTATTTTTTTTTAAATCAACACACTATATGAGGTCAAAAAATGACCAGAAACCACATACGGCACAAAAAGATACTACGAAGTATTTATTTAGTAAAATATATTTGGAGCAATATCTATTTAGATTTTTTAAATATTTTATTATTTTTATTTTATTATATTATTAGTATTTTATTAAACCAAAGTGATACCTTGGCGTTCTTCTATGAGTATTTGTATTAAACCTTGTAGTACTTCTATCAGTATTTGTACTAACTTTGACGTTCTTCTAAGCGTTTGTGGTGTTTATCTGTAAGTTTTTAGGTGTGCACCAGAATAACGCCATGAATACGTAGACTGTCGTTGCAGCAGTGACAAACAGCGTAAGAACAACAACAAAATATTAACAACAACAATAATATTAATAATACTAATAACAATGCGTAAACTCACCGCCGCACCAAAACTTCGGATCCTCGACATCTCTGGAACTGGGATCTCAGCTGCTATTCTTTTCAACTTAATTTGATTCCGTTCCCGTAATTCCAGCTCCGTTTCTTCCGTCTCTCCGTCCTTCTGCGTGTCAGTCTGCATTGCAACCAAACCCCATTTTCTACTGCACTGTATTTGTTTTAATGCTCACTGTCTTTGGTAAACACTACTGTGCCTGTCACACCAAATCAGGTTTACCATTGACTGAGACTTCTGTCCGTCATGTTGCTTCCGCCGGTTTGGCTTCTTTTGATTGGTTGACACCCTCTCTTACGTTCTTCTCTTTGCCTTGGCCCCTCCTCTCTGCTTCTCAGCGGCGGTGGGGCGG